AATATATATAAAACAAAAAATTTCTAATTAGAGTCTTACAAATATAAATTAAATGACTTGGTTCATCTAAGTAAATAATTTTCTAATGTATATAAATAAATGTATAATGTAAATAATCTTTTCACTTATTTAGTATTTTAAGTAAATATAAAAAGTACTTCAAAAAATTCTATTATATATAAAAATATCCAATGTTTTTAAGCAAAAAATAAAAACAGCACAGAAAAACAGACCTGTATTTCATTTGATCACTTTAGAATTAATTTGATTAATATTATCAATATAGCTATATTTATATTATCAATATAGTTGTTTGGTTTATCTACTCTTTTTTATGTGTATGATAACCTTCATTTTTATCCATTTATCATGAACAAATAAAAGTTTAAATTCAAAATAATAAAAATTTTTCGTGAGCTTTTGAAAATTGCAAGATTATCAGCGGTTCGTCGATGCGGGAGAAAGGAATTGATAGTCATTCTGTTCCCAGAAATTCTGACGGAACTTCCACCAACTGGTGACAAAATGGACAAAGTTACTCGCACCTCTGAGATGAGATTGTTGTCCCTTGAGATCAGATTGAGCATTTGAAAATTCTGTGAGACTATTTGTTGCCAAACTTTACATTCGCCTCCTTCATGTATCCCAGAGGTCTTCTTCTTTTCAAAAAAGAAATATATACTTTCAAAACTTGTCCAAGTTTTTTTGATATACATACTTATGTATATGCCCCCAGACAATTACTAAATCAATAATTCACGATTATATTAACATAAATGTGTTCAAAATAAAAACACACACACACACACACACACACGCACACACACACACACACACACACACACATATACATATACATAATTAGCTATATATATGCGCCCGCCCGCCTCCTCCCCCACACACACGCATACACACACACACAGTTAAGAAATCTTAAATAATTTTTAAATTTTATCGCAATCAAATAATTGTTATTTTATAGAATGTTATTTTATAGAAAATAAATTTTATATATATTACATATAACACAATTATTACATAAATGTTGACCTTACAGTTATTTTTTTATCCTTTCAATTTTTCTGATTTTTACAAATACCATTTTTTTATTATATAAGTATACCATGCATGACTACTTAATATCTATTAGCGTACATTAGACAGATATAATATTTATCTATGGTAAATATGTTTTCGTATTCATACACAACCTGGCTAGTCTGGATTAATTTCTATCATAACTACTATGTACGAGACCATGGAATATCCACTGCACATCGCAGCGAACAGTTGCAAAACTTGTACGAAACGCCAGCAAAACGGGAGAAGTTACTCGTATTTTGGCATGAAATTATTTCTGAAGCTCAATGTGAACCTCCGAAAGTGCAACGGAGCAATTTTGTGTCTAGATTCACCGTCACGTCCAATGCACCGAGATAGCGAAACAAAGTGGAAACTAGCGAATAACCACATAAATCTTTTCGCTAAAATACTGTTTGTATTAATTTACAATCATAGTTTAATCATATTATTTTTACACATTTTAATCGATAACATTTATCTAATAACAATATTTACCTAATAGCCTTTTTGTATAAATAATATCTATAAAATTTGTAAAAAAATAAAAAAAATACTGAGTAAATTAGATAAAAGTAATATTAAATTGTAGTCTGAAGATCTCTATTCATTTATCGCATCACACAAAAATACTACTGAAAATACATTAGCAAAATATAAAACTAAAATTTTTTTCATTGACGAGCAGTATTATTTTCGATCTCTTGAGTCTTGATCGTTATCGTATAGTTCTCCTCATTCTGTGTAATCGATTTAAGAAACAAGGATCAAAAATTAAATGCCGAAATTATTCTATTTCGAATATCTTTTAATATTTAATTGAAATACATTAAGTTCATGGTTAGAAGAGCTTTGCTAGAATTTCTGTGCTTGTCTTTGGAAGGTTCGATTAAAAGTTGAATCAAAATGGAATTCTTTTGACTTGCATACTTTATCCGTAATAAAAAAAACATTGGAAAGACAATATTTTTTGTTGCAAAATGAATATTCTCTCATTTTTAATTTATATAAAAATGTTTTTCACTCTATCATTGTTTTTTACATGTATTATATTTTTTCTAAACTTATTCAACTTTTAACGAAGCGTAATAATTGTATAAAATAATTGTACAAACGACAAAGAAAATAGCACAAAGCATAAAGGATATGATAAAGAAAGTAAGGAACAAGGGAACTCGAATTTCTTGAAATTCTCGAAATGGCACAAACTGTTGCGAAACTTGAGTCGATTATTTTAATGTATGGAAAGATGGCACACTCGGGATAAGTTAAAGGAGATAAGAGATAAACAACTGCAACAACGAAGGGTATTCTTGCCAAAACCCTCTTATACTTGATTATAATGCTATTACATTGCTTCTTTAGTTTTTTCGCTTAGAAAAGATCAATCAAAAGGTATTATTTATAATTCGCAATCAATTATTCGTATTTCATAATACGACTACCACTATATATAGAATCTGACGCTGATAGAACTCTATCGAAGAAAAGTTTAGTAATCACTATTAAAATAATATTTGTTTAAATAATCCATACGCTGCATGCAACATTTAAAAAAAACATTGAAAAAAATCTGTTTTTATATGGGGCAATAGCTTTTTGTGCATATAAATATATATTCGAGTTACAAAAATTTATTAAAAGAGAATATAAAAAGATATTTTTGTAAAATATTTTATTTTTACAAAAATTACAAGAGTATTATTTTACCAATTATAAACTTTCTAAATGGTGCAACTACGAAAAAGAAATTTGTAAAGCGGGATGATCGATAAAAACCTCGTAAAATGAATTATATCATTTGTTCAGCGCCCAAAAATATGTCATACAACATAAATTATAGAGAAAAAGAGAAACTTTGAAATAATTGTGATTAATAAATTCGAGAATATAATTTCGTTAAAAGTCAGGAACTAGAAGAAATAATTATCAAATTAGTCTCAAAGTCGTTAACATTCCTAAATTTTTTATCTAATTAGTTCTAGATCATTTTCATTTCATATATGTACATTATCGCTACTTACATTTTGAATCTAATATTCAAGGTAAATCTATGATTCATATTACGAAATGTATGTATTTCATCAGTTAATATAAAAGTAATATAAAAGTTATATATAATATAATATAAAATAATAATATAAAAGTTATATTATGCAGGGTTGAGTAACTTATAAATTATTATTAACAATTACAAGTAACGCTGTTTCTTTGTTGATTGTTACCTTGTTAATAATAATTTGTTATAATAACAATGATAATGTGTATTTTTTATGACGATAATGCTAACATCAGAGTTAGAAAAATCAATCGTTACATGTAATGGATTAAAAAAATCATTACTGAAAAAAATAACTCCTAATTTGTAACGCGTTACTTTTTAGATTCGTTACTTGTTAAAGTAATGATTGACTTTTCTAACTCCGATGTTAGCATTATCGTCATAAAAAATTCACAATATCATTACCAAAGCGTTATTATAACAAAATAACGATCAACAAAATAAACGTTACAAGTATTTTTGTAAAATAATAATAAAAATAATTTTTATTATTGCACTTAGAAAAAAAATCGATTAATTGTTTAACATATTACGCTCTCGTATAATTAGCATGTCAACAACAAATTCATATGTTAGAACGGTTATTTGATATATAAATGATGTATAAATTAATATTTTCTGTGTTTATTAACATATCATAATAATGTTAAGGTAAAATATATTACTAGTCATAAATCAACTAATTACATCGTTTTCCTAATTTAATAATTTCATGCATAATAGTTAGTTTGTTACATCAGCGAGAAAAAAATATAACATATTTTCTCTAATTAAATTTGTTCTTTACGAATTGATCTACATTCGACTTATATTCTTTCGTAGTAATGATGAAACAAGAAGAATCGTGATCGAGCTAGGAATATGAAGAAACATGACGGGAAAGAGAAATAACGAAAGGAAAGAACTAAAAAGAAAGAGTTTTTCTAGGTACTGAGAGCAAATCGAATTCGCTTTTGATTCAAAACTTTTCGTTTCAACTATCGATGACTCTTTATACTTTGATTACGTTTCTGCGGCACGTAATAAAATTACAAACAAAACAACTTCGTGAATACATAATCTTCCTAGAAAAAAGTTAAATGTTACAAGTAGATAGTGTGCATAAAAAATATTTTGTGAAAAAATTATTTAGTTTCAAGATAAAAAAGATTAAAACAATTGAAGACATAATAAAGAGATTTTTTTAGCTACAAAAAAAGAATTTTGTGAAAAAGATCGAGTAGGAATTAACCTTTAATTGATTGCCCAAGAAAAATGGAGCTCTGAACGTGCTCAATAGAAAATGGCTTGTTTCCTTTTCTCTTAACTCTTAACGATAAAAGTTAGATATATGTGATGTAAAGTAATCT